CGCCGTCGCCGTCGTCCTCGTTGCCGTTGTCGTCCTTCTCCCTCTCTCTCTCTCTCTCTCTCTCTCTCTCTCTCTCTTCGCCCCTTCGCTCACCCCCTCTTGTGAACCACCCTCTTCCATCCGACGGGAACCGCCGCGCGGGATTCGCGATTTTAGCGTCACTCCAGTGAGATCTCCAACGACAGAGTGATCTTCTTTGCGTTTTGACTCTTTTTGTATAACATTCGATACAGGTTTTTCCCAAATATTCCTGGAATATTCGACTTGGATTTTCGTAGATTATTATACTTTAATCTTCGAGATTATTCAGATTCTTTGAGCGAATCTAACGTATCTAATAGATTTCTCGGTTCTTTAATTTCTGACGAATCTTGTGAATTTAGTATTGATTTGTTTAGTATAAAGAAATTATTTCTTGCTCGAATTTTAATTTTGAAAATTATCCATCTTGTATGATGAAATTCAAATTCTATCAAAATCTGTTGAATTTAGGTAACAAAACTTTGTGTAATCTACTCGCTTTACTACAATTTATATACACTCGAGGTCATTAATGCTTTTTCGCTTGAAATTAGCTGCGTTTCGAGCAGACGCATGTCACATCTAGATATATTATGACTTAAATTCGAGCAATGGTGGATTAACAATCACGATGTATGTACTTAAACCTGTCTGAAATGCAGCTAATTAAACAAGAAGCATTATTTTCCACGAATATACTGATTGCAGAGCAGACGAGAATCTTTTGTCAACGAATTGTAATTCTAAATTATTAGCAACTCGACTTCAAGTTCGTCATAGAATTATCGAAATAAATTCTCTAACTCCCTAATTTTTGTCGCATTAACGAAAAGCAATCATACAAAATATGTCTCCATTCGTATAAGACACAATTTTCATAATAATGTGAAAGAACGGTGAATGACAGTGAAATTGACGTCCTATTATTTTAATGGACGTCAGAGCCGAAAGGGTTAAACTCGCGAACTGTGAGACAGTCTATATGTATTCCATAGCTCAAGGTGTCCTTTCTCAAACAATAGTACAAACCGTCACGTAACCGCCGCTCTCGTTAAGAAAAATAGAAAAAAATTCTCGTTTTCTCACCCTTTTTCCATCTCTCTCTCCTCCCTCTCCCCCTTCTCCCCTCACTCTCTCTCTCTCTCTCTCTCTCTCTATCTCTATTTTCTGTCGCTTCTTTGCGGGCTTACCGAGGCATGCAGATAATGTCGGGAAGAGGGACTACCTTTACAGTTACTGTTCTACCGGTAGCCCTTCGTGGTACGAAACTCTCTTAGGGTCGTGAAAAAGGCCGGTGGGGAGCGAAGAAAAGGCGCGGCAAAGCACGGGAGCAAAGGGTTCGCCAGAAAGAGACAATGACGAAGAAGAAGAAGCAGAAAAAGAAGAAGGGTCGATTTAGTGCTCTCCAGATTAGAGCCTCCGCTATTGTTTCCCA